AGAGAAACCAGGATGCAGTGAAAGTGGGTTCCTGGAGTTGAGACAGGGGAGGTTCGCTGGGTGTGTCTTGTGCCCACGCACACTTCTCCTTGCTGAGGACAGTGTGAAAATTCTCCAAACAGTGTCTTCTTTAAAGAAGTAAAGGAACTAAACAACCATTTAGGAACCGGAAGAGAGAGTGACTCCTTCCTGTGGGATGCAGGGTGCCGTGGCTGGGTGGCCAGAGGTTGGCCCAGAGTCTATGCCGGACCTGGTGAGTCACTTCGGAGGTGTTGCTGCTCTCGTCCACAGGGATAGTGTACAGGAGTGTTAGGGTTATAGGAGCCAGGAGCTATGGGAGTGAGCAGAGTCCCATCCTCCTCTCCTGTTTCCTCCAGTATCTCACCTAGAAGAAAACCGAGTTCATGCCAAGGCTCTCGGGAATGAGGGAGAAGGAGAGGACCAAGCATTGTTTGTAGCATTCACTCTCAAATTTACATCATGGGAGAGCAGGACCTGAGCAGCAGCCTGTCTGCTTTAGGAAAGCATGGAGGTGCCTTGGAGTATTTGAGACTCCGGTCCAGCAGGCAATGCCGTAGGCCCCAGTTTGTCCCGCAGAAAGAGTCACTGAGCGTGCTCACAGTGTTCTCTAAACACGTATGCTGTTGAGAAACTTGCAATGAACTGAGGTGAATTGGAAATTCCTAAGTCACACGTTCTGAGTGCAGGGAGTGGCGTTCAGTCAGCTTCTTGGACTTTGAGAGGTTATATCCAAACAGGGAACCCAAAAGGAAAAATTGTGGGTGCTCCAAAGAAGTCAGTTTTCTTCCAGTCTGTGAATTGCCTATGGCTTCTTCCTGAAAAGAAAGAGAATCTAATGCACTTAGTTCTTCTGAGGCATCTCATTCAGTAACTGTGACGACAGATGACTCATTCCGTACCAGGGATCATCAGAAAAGTGGGTGACAGAAAGTGTCCAACATCAGAAAACCTGCAGAATCTGCCCTGTGATCAGCAAGAGGAGTAGCACCAAGTAAGTCTAGAGGCAGGGTGGGGCTTGGGATGTCTGGGGAAGGGGTTGAGAAGGGACAGAGAGTGTCATGAACAGAGCCCAGTGGAGCTGAGTCAGGCATGGGAAGACTATGGTATCTGGGGTGACCTGGAAAGATGTCCCCAAGATATTCAGCAGTATCCTCCAACTTGGAGGGAAAACCTGCTCCACTCCTGCTCACTTCATCAACAGAATGTGATTGTCGGAAACAGAGGTGGGTGATTTCCAGGATGGGGTGCAAGAAGCATCGTGGTCCCCTCCTGCCTCTCTCTGGGATCTCTCAGTGAGCCTGATGCATGCTGTCCGTCTAGATACTCAGCAGCCCTGCAGGGTCCCCAGGGGTTCCTTATACCCTAGACCTCCACCAGCATCTTGACTATATTTCTCATGCACGCTAGGGTTCTCTCAGACAAGCTCTTGTTTTCTGCCATACCTTCAGCGGTCCACAGCCTGCTGCTGGGTGTGTGTGGCCTGGCTCTTTGTCCTCTGTCTTCTCAAGTCTGAATCACAAGGCCCTTTGTGGCTGGAGCAGAATAGAGAGCTGACCTTCATGGCAACCAGCCCTGCCTTGTGTTGTTGAAGGAGGGGTATCTGGGGTCTGGAGCGGCTGTGTCTCCAGCACATACAGGGCTGCTTGGCATCGCTCTGCAATGTGTCCCAGCTGTGCCATTGAGAGTTTGCCCACAAGCAGTGTTCAGGCAGAACTAGAAAGGCACGATAAACTCAGCAAAGGCGGGCAAGGTCCCATAGTGATGCCTGTAAATCACATTGCCATCTTCTCTGAAGGCTCCAATATGGCTGGTGTTCCAACTGAAGTGTACTCTCGTTTTCAGTCTGCCTCAGGGTCCCTTGAAGGACTGCGAAACAGATGCTGAGGGGCACTTTGCAGGTGGCTGGGCCTCACCAGGGCCGCCTCCCAGTTCAACAGGTCTAGGGCTTGGAATCGGCCAGCTCAGGCGCACACTTGGAGAGACCCCTGGCCTGCTCATCTCCAGACTCCAGTGAGGGGTGCTGGTGGCACTCATTGGTCACCCTCGTCCAAAATCCGAAGTGCTTCAAAGGCTGAAATCTTGTGAGTGTTGGCCGGAGGCCACCAGTGGAAAATTCCATGCCTGTGACACTTGGACTCATGTACAAAACTATTTAAAATATTGTCTAAAATTATACCATCAGACTGTGCGTATAAGTACATACGAGTATAAACTCTCGTTCCAAGCATCTTGGGTAAGGGACACTCATCCTAGCACCTAATGGTGTGTGTGAGGACGGAGACCATTTTTCTTCAGATTTCCTGGGGAAAGTCTGCTCCATTTGAATTAAGAAACTGAAACTTTCAGCACTCTCTGTGTCCTTAACTTTCAAGTTTCTGCTCAGAAGCCCATGAAATTAAAAACTACCTTTCCTGCCGCTCCAGCTTGGCTGCCATAATGCATGGATGCACACACTGTGATGCTAATTTAAGGAACTCAAATTGCACACAAATTTCTCTGTTCGGAAAGTCATCTGCTGATCATCAGGTTTAATTAACATCGGGTAAACCACGTATTTACCACAGCCCACTCCTGTAGAGCCTCCCCTAAATGCTAGCCTGCTTTATCTGTGGTTGATTAAAGTTCCCCTCTCGCCAGCACCATCTGGGCTCAGGCTAAGCCTTCAGAGCGAGATCAGTCCCTCCTGCACCAAAATCTCAGCTTCTAGTGTAGAACAAGCTTCCACAATACTAATTGCACAGAACTCAAAACTAAAATAAAAATTAAAGTAATTGGGAACTCAGAGTTCATGGGAAGAGGGGTGAACAGCTTGTGGTTTGTGTAGACCATTGGGCACAGTGTGTGAGACTGGCCATAGTGACCCTCCTGGTCCACCAGGACAAGATTGAAGGCACAGGGTGGTGTCAGGGTGCCCAGCCTTGCCCCAGGAAAGTGCCCACTGGCCAGTACCTGTGCCCTTGACTTCCTCTCAGGGCCATACACAATAGCTGACCTGAACGAAGCTGAGGCTATCTGTGCCCAGCTCAGGCAGTCTATGAAGGCAGTTGCTGGTGGTACTGTGTGGTAGCCGAGAGTGCTATGCTGTGCTGTTTAGAATGCGGTCGACCTGATTCTCAGCTTTACTTTATTTGCTTTCAGTCTGAAAATATTAAGTGAAAAACTCCAGACCTAAAATATTCCCTTGTTTTTAATGGATCCATGTTCTGACTATCATAATGGAATCTCACACATCATCCTCAGCCACCCGGGCTATCAGATGGTCAGGTTGCCTGCTTAGTCCGAGTTACCTTATTTCACTTAAAAATGTCCCAAAGGCAGAAGTTGTGCTACAGGGAGGTAGTGCAGTGCCTCCTTGGAGCAAAATGGTGAAGGAAAGTATAAGATATTCTGAAAGAGAAGGAGTCCACGTGTGCATAACTTTTCTTAAAGCCTGTGCTTAGAATTGTTCTCTTTTAAAGGCATTATTGTCTCTCTGTCACTGGGCCTAGTTTGTAAATTCTGCTTTCTCTTGTGTGTGTCTGCAGAAGGAAAGCCCTAGTACATAGGGTGAATGTCCAGGCACTGCACTCGCAGTCGCATGGGGTCTAGAAGGTTGCCCCACAGTGCAGGCTGCTGTGACATGTGGGTGGACTGATTCTCAGCTCCCTGTGAGCGACATCAGAGCTCTGTGGCCCTCTGAGTCATCCGGCGACCTGGTTCACCACAGCCTCTTCCTGAAGTCTCTTCCTGAGGTTCTACAACTCCACTGGCCATAAGCCCCAGCTTCACATGGAGAGGTCAGGGCTCTGCACTCACGTAATTGTTCTCACTTGGCCTGCTCTGGCCAGAGGGACATGTACATGTGAATGATGACGACTCTGTGCGCACTGTTCCTCAACAAGGGCAGCTGTGGCCAGGTGCAGTGAGTTGTCTGGACCACACCCCCTCAATCGCCATGGGCCAAGATCTAGTCACCTTTGCTTCGTGGATTTGTACCCCCTTCTCTGATGCTGGTGTAGATCCAGAAGGTCCTACAGGATGGACATGGAGCAGCAGCAAGCAGCTGGGCCCCATGCAGAGGAGTGGGCTGTGGGCTGCCCTGGCCTTGGGCTACGGGCGCTGCACAGTGGAGGCTGAAGTCACAGCTGGCCAAGCAGGATCAGGGACCCAGCATGCTGTGTCTGGTAGCAGAAATGTGGGATGAGACACACTGAGGGACAGAAGTTGAGGCTGCAAGACAGGTGCCACTCAGACCACACCCCACAGTGACCCTGGAGGGCAGCTTCTGCTCCCTATCCTCTCCCAGGGCTTCGTACACTGCATCGCCTTGGGGCCACTGCTGCTCATTATCAGCTGCCGTGTCTTCATGGGCCTTGCCTGATTCCACTCCACATGTGTACACACATATACACATGCACACCCTCATGCATGCACTCATACATATACACACTCACATGTACACACATGCACACACTTACATGCTCACTCATAGGCATGTATTACTCATGCATGTACAAACATACACTCATTTGCATGCATGCATTCAGACACATACCGTCATATATATATGCTCGTGTATATATATGCATTCATATACATTTATATACACATGCACGCTGCACATTCACACGCATGCAGTCCTCTACACATACTCACATGTGCACTCATATATAGGTGCATATAGACAAGCACACTTGTGCATTTATACATGCCTACTCACAAGTGTGCTCACACACACTCACAGGCGTGCACATGGTCACACATACTCATACACACTTACAACCTCACACTCACAAGCACTTTCTCCCTCTCTCATATACACACCTGCACAATCTCCCCCCACCACCACCTGCCCTTGCTTCCCCTGTGAGCTGCCCCCCCTCTTCATGGACCCCAGCAGTTTGCAACTGCCCTCTGCCTCCCCCATACTGTCACCTGCAGAGCTGGGTGCCCTGTATGATGCCCATGCACCCGCATGTCCCAGCCATGCTGCCTGGTGTGGAGTCAGTCTCCAGGAGATGATCGCTGTTTACAAAATTACTTCTACAAAGAGCATTCTTCATTCAGTATCCTTCCTGCATGTTTTTCAGTAATTGAAAGAAAAGGCCAATTTAATAAAAATGACATATTGCTTAAATATATTCAGATAAAGGCAGGTACTGACATCATCACCACCCTTAAACAATTCTCAGTAACTGCTCAGTCCACGATTCAGGTCCCACAGAGACATCATGAATTCTGCTGAAAATGCACCCAGAGTCCTCCCCCACTCTGCCCCCACGCACTTTATTGTTAAAGATCTTAGAATTAGAAAGTATTTACGGCGTTGTTACTGGTAGTTCAAAGTCAGAAGAAGTGGAATTTTGAGCTGCTGTCTCAGGCAGAGTGCTGTGAATCATGCAAGGTTTTAAAAGAGAGTTTGAAGATTTAGCTCAGCAGTGCCGCTGCCTGCCCACCTCACAAGCACAAGGTACCAAGGTCAATCCCTGGTACAAAAAAAAAAAAAATGGAGAAAGAGAGAGTGTTTGGGGAATGGTGCTCCTATTTCGGGTGTCCCTACCATGTAGGTTAGGGGCTGCCATGCCTTGTATTAAGCAACTCTGCGAAGATGACCTCCCACGTGTGTGGCCCTGTATGTGCTAAACCCATGCGTGTTCAGAGCAGCATTTCCTTTGTCTGTTAAGAGCCTGAGGCCTGTGTCTGGCTCCTCAGGGTCACCCTGAGGCTCTGGTGCCACCAGATACCCTGCTGTGCCCTGAGGCGGCTCCCAACCTGTGCCTGTCCTAACCTCCTTGTGCTTCCTCTCCAGCCCAGCGACTTCTCCGTGTCTCTCAAAGCATCAGGGAAGAACAAGCACTTCAAGGTGCAGCTGGTGGACAATGTCTACTGCATCGGGCAGCGGCGCTTCCATAGCATGGATGAGCTGGTGGAGCACTACAAGAAGGCACCCATCTTCACCAGCGAGCATGGCGAGAAGCTCTACCTCGTCCGGGCTCTGCAGTGACAGCGGTGGCTGCGCCCCCAGCTCCAGGCCCTCCCAGCCACTTCGCCCGCTGCCCAGCCAGCAGCGCAGTCTGTCTTTCTGTCCGGCTTGGGTAGTCTCTCGCCCACCACCCCAGGCCTCCCAGCCCCCATTGGGAGCTGCACCAGGGTGTCCTGGTGCTGGGGCTCACTGTCCCCGCCACGGCATCGGGCAGCAGTGAACCAGTGAGCTGAGCTGCACAGGCTTAGTCGGTGCTGTCCCGAGCTGCGGCCTCCCCTGCCACCGGGCAGCCGACGCCAGGCCCGGTGTCCACAGACGCTCCCGGGCTCCCGGCTGTGCAGGGGGACCCGGGGTGATAGCAATACTGGAACCCGGTGAGGCGGCCTGGGGAAGCTGCCAGTGCCTTTGAGGCTGCGCGTGCAATAAGAGTTTTTCCTGAGAGTCAGTCTGTGCGCGCGGAAACCCATGACACGGAAAGACATGTTGGCGATTGACCCTAGTCGTGCCATCACAGTGCTTTCTCCTCTTGCCCTTTGGCTTGTTTGAATTTCACAATTATGTATTTAATTCTCAAAGTAATATGTATCTGTAGCTGTTTGTGGACACTAATAGCAGATGATTAAGGAAAAGAGCTGATCTTTGGGAAGGGAAGCTATCCATACTTTATACACACACTATACATATATATATATAATATGTGCATATTATATATATATTATTTGCTTTACAGGGAAATTTTTTCAGGGTTTACAAGAGAATATGTGATCAGTAGAAAGAGACACACAGAATGTTTATTAAGAAATTGAATTTTCTTTTTTCTTTACATTTGAACTTCTTTATAGTTGAAATATACAGTCCTGAGGTGGCACACTCCTACGATTGAAGCAAAAGAAGCTATATACTCTATACACACACACTATACATATATATATATAATATGTGCATATTATATATATATTATTTGCTTTACAGGGAAATTTTTTCAGGGTTTACAAGAGAATATGTGATCAGTAGAAAGAGACACACAGAATGTTTATTAAGAAATTGAATTTTCTTTTTTCTTTACATTTGAACTTCTTTATAGTTGAACTATACAGTCCTGAGGTGGCACACTCCTACGATTGAAGCAGGGGTCTTGAGATCCCCTAAACTTGCATACCCAGTTTTTTGGATATTGTAATAAAAAAAAGTATTATGACAAGAGTGCTTGTATTTATCGATGGGGAAAATGGGCTCGGTGGTGGGCAAGGAGAGATGGCCACATTTTCTGAAAACTCAACGCCCAGAGGGAATTGCTTAGCACATGTGCTACTCATGTGTTTTTCTTTCCCACCCCCGGTTTTGCACATTGAAATATAGACTTTAATTGGTAAAACTCCAGGAGAATTCAGGAAGTCAAGCTTGAACTTTACTCTTTGGAGAATATTGGTTTTTAAACATCCACTTATGGAGCTGTCGTTAGCTGGAGTTCTCACCTGATAGCTCCTTACCTGGTATCCGCAGTGACATGGTTGTGCTGGGCAGGTCTGTGTCCCCATAGCCATGACAGCTCCTGCCTTGTGTGAGAGCTTATGCTGCACTAGGCACAGTGTCTCCTGCTCCCCACGGCCCTGGGAGAGGATCTTCTGTCACTCTCGGATGAAGACACTGTGAAGCCAGAAAGGGCGTGTAGCTGTTCTGTGGGACGGGGGCCAACCCCAGGCTCTGCTCCAGGCTCATCCCTACCCACTCCAGTCTGGAAAGAATTCAAGAGGCTGGGGCATTGCAAGCTCAAGTCCAGCCTGGGCAACTTAGCAACTTAGTGAGACCCTGTTTCAAAATAAAAAGTCAAAAAGTGGGAATACAGCTCACTGCAAAGGCCCTGGGTACAAACCCTGGGTGGGTGGGGGGGGGGGCTTTCTGAAAGTTTATACCTTCCCAAGTTTGTTGTCTTTTTGCTGATTTTGATGAAGTGGTATGTGTGGTACCTGAAGTTGGCAGCACTGGTCCTAAGAGAGATGTCAAGTGACCTCAGAGAAGTCCACCTTACTGTGGAGAAACACAGAACCATGAGCCAAATAGCCTTTTCCTGTGTATTAGTGATCTCGGGCATTTTGGTACAGCAGCAGATAGCTAGCACAGGGTTTGTTCAGGGGGCCAGGTTCATCAACAGGAGCACCTCAGTCCCAGGACTTTGCAGGGCCTGCTACCCTGTGATGCTCATGATCCCCTGTGCTATATCAGAGATGGCTCCAAGCCAGGTATGGGGAAACCCCTTCAGCCTTGTGATTTCCCAGGAACAACCTTGCTTCTCTGAATGCCAAGGCTTGTGAGCAAGACAAGGCTGCTGTCCATCTCTGAAACTCACAAAAGTCATGAGAGTATCAGCCAAGGAAGCCCCAAACCTCAGCCTGACATCAACCTTACCTCTTTACGAGGTATGGTTGACAATTCCCATCCCTAAGAATGGTCCTCGGAGCATGAAGGAGGGGATCACCCTCAGCCTGTGCCTGTCAGCATAAAGACTATGGGTACCAGGTCCAGGGAACTGGCCTGTCCAGAGCACTAGGCCCCAGCATTTAGGGCTCCATGGAAGCTGCCGTGTTGCATGCAGTTCACTCAGACTCTGGGCTGTGGCTCCAGCCACTGGGGAACCTTCACCTCTCTGTAAGGTCCTTAGCCACCCAGGTTCCATCCAGAGGGGACAGTCATCAGCACACCGGCTGCCACAGAACTGTGCCACAGCCCATCTGTGACAAGCTCCCAGGAGACTGCAGAGTTGGTAGATTGGGGCCTGCACTTTAGGACTCCTTGAAGGACTTGTCTCCTTGACTAGGGAGAATTTGTCTGTATATTAGTTACCTTCCCATTGCTAGGACAAAATATCCAATATCCACAGCTTAAAGGAGGAAAGGTTTATTTTGGCTTGTGGCTACAGAGGATTCAGTCTATGGTCAGCTGGCTCCAATGTAGGAACATCATGGTGGAAGGGTGCAGGGGAGGGCAAGTGGCTCCTGGGGATTGATAAGCCCTGAGTGCCCAAAAGCTGCTTCAGAAGCTAGTCTCCAACTGCTTTTAAAAATGTATGCCCTTGGGGCTGGGGATTTAGCTCAGTGGTTCTGCCGCCTGCCTCTCAAGCACAAGGTCCTGAGTTTGATCCCCAGTGCCAAAATATATATAGCCTCATACCCAAAAGGTGGGCACTGGCTAAGTCCTTGGCTTGGTTGAGCAAAATTTACAACCAGGAACCAGAGCACCAGGGCCTATCCCCAAACTGCTGATGGTGAGGAGGACATGAGACCTTTGAAGGAGCACCAGGGCTGAAGGTCAGCAGGCTGGTATAAAGCAAACCCACTCTTTGACCTCTAGTGAGGTCCAGACTTCATGCCTGATGGCCCATCCCCCCGGTGCAAAGCTGCGTGACATAAGGAACCCTTAGAGATGGCCCAGGAGTAGTTAGACCTCTGTATACATTTACATAATGTGAAAGGCTCAAGTTAATGTGCCAGCTTGTTATCTGAGTGAAGCTGTTAGTGAGTGTGCTAAGATTTCAGACCTCACCAGGCATTTGTGCCAGAAATACCAGTGAAATGATTTCAGCCTGGAGCTCCATGCAGCCACACACAAGAGCTAGCAGAATCTGTTTCCATGCATATTCGGGGAATCCTGTAAAGAAGCCAGGAGTCAGACAGTACAGAAAGTGAACTAATGGTGCCAGCCATTATATCAGCCCAATCAGAATGCAGACGTCCACAAAGCACCCAAGCCTCAACAACCACATCACAGTAGTTGCTCCGGGTGCTGAGGGTTCAGGTGCTATCTTGGCTACAAGTGTCTTGAAAGTGGTCTTTGGTGCCATTCCACCCATACCTGTCCCCAAGTCAGGTATCTATGGAACATCTTTAGGGTAGCTTTTTCTTTTCCCTCAAGGCTGAGATGGTAATATTGGCTACTCAATAATCTGGAGATCATTTGGAGGAATTAGAGATATTTTTACTTTCTTCACACTTATAACCCAGATTTTCTACAATGAATATGAATTATCTGAATGAAGAATTTAAAATGTCATATATTATAAATCATGTGGAACCAAATTCTTTGAATCTTCCAGATGTTCAACTTGATTATACTGATTGCAGAAAAATATTTATGGGAGAGATTTCTTATCTGCACTTTGCTTGGTTTCCCTGTGATAATGAGAAGATGTTTTTATCTTTAGTCAACATTTTCACCAAAAACACCTGTTAACAATATTTGCACATTGGAGGTTGTGGAATACTGCTCTCATATGCTATATGATCTAGAAAAATTTCTCAAGAACATTCTCAATAGATCCTATCCTGGTGGGCATGTTAATCCTAGGCCCTGCCCCCTTTTCTGCACATTTCCCTCCATAGTGCTTAGCAGTTTCTGACAGATGAATAATTTCCTTGTTTACTCTGGTCATTATTTACTCTGTCCAACAAGAGCCAGACTGAAGTTCTGTGAGGACAGGGTTGTTTTAACTTCTTTCTCAGGAGGAAGCTTGTGACTCTTATGCCCTGAGTCAAAACATGAGCTAGTAATAGTTCATCCACCATGGGTGAACACCAGTCATAGCTGATCACAAATGTCAGCACCTGCATAAACAGATCTAAGCATTTCTCCAAGACAAAACTGTCAGCCCCAGAGGATCCTGGGCTGCCCAACCAAACTTCCTTGTTTTCCCACAATCTTAACTAAACATCTGCACTTGATGCCAAGGGACAGAGGTTGACTGCGACCCAGTGACTCACTTGGTTAAAGATGCTGCAATGTCTTGAGACTTTGAGGATGGTCTCACTTGCACTTCATACTCTCAGGGGTTTCTGTCTGACCCTGACTAAAAATGCCCAACAGTTTCCCACCTATAACAAACTGTCCTCTTGTCACTTCTGACACCCCTGGGCCCTTAGCGCCAGCCGGTGGCAGAGACTGGCTGCTCTAGTGCCTCATCCTGAGCCACCACACCGGACCATGACCTCAGGGCCCCTTCTGCACAGCAGACTTGCACAAAGACTTCTCTCAGCACTGTTTCTCTCTGTCCCTGAGGTCTCTGGGCTGAAACTCTGGGTTAGAACCTTAGCCACAGCTAAGTGCAGCAACACAATTGGGCCATTGTGAACTGCAAGTCAGCAGAAGGGTGGGGACCAGGGTGACTCATCAGGCCACCTGCTGGCCCAGCCCTGGGGCCTCTGAGGGGTCCAGTTTCCAAGATATCCCCCATCTCATCCACATCCGTGGTCTGAGCCCCTGGTTTAGGGCAGCCCCCTCCTGCTGGTCAGTGCTGTATTTCCCCTGCCTTGACTTCTCTCTATCCAGGCAAAGGTGAAGAGGCCAGGCCTTGCCCTCTGTAGCCCCAGCTACACCAGTTTGGGAGCTGGAACCAGAGCTCAGGCTGTGGTTCCAGCCAGCTCCAGGTGTCGCAAGCTTGCAGGCTGTGGCATTTCTGGCCAGATTCAGAGGCTGGCACGCTAGGCACCAGCCAGGGCATCAAGGTCAGAGCACGACAGTAACAGAACCAGATCCTTGGGGAAGAGACATAGAGGCAAGGGCTTCTTGGGGACTTAGGTGGCATGTGTGTGTGTGTGTGTGTGTGTGTGAGTGTGTGTGCATGTGTGCTGTGTATCTATTTCATTTTTATCACTGGACAGTAATCTATTGTGTTGACATAATCCATTTATTCACTCTGCTCTTGATGAGTTTTTGCTGATTATAGGAAATCAATAGTATATATTATTATCTAAATTTCAATGTGCTGTCCCCCAAAAATTTGCCTGGTTAAAATAAAAACTAATGATAAAGCAAAACTAGGAAAAATAGAGACCATGTTGCAAATTTCATTTCAGAGGGAGCAGCTTTAGCTTAGGCAGTTCAAGAGACATGGTTTCCAACCCAATACTGGAGAGACCCAGGGTTCTGGGTCTGTTCTAGCAGGCATTAGAATTCCCTGAAAGCACAATACACAGAAACTGCAGCCTCACCCCAAATCTCTGGTTCAGTAGGTCTGGGGGTAGCCTAAGAAAGCAGATTCCAGTAGGGCTCAAACACTAAGAACCTTGTCAGCTGACAATTCCTGTGTGGAAACTGACACATCCTGAAATAAAAGCATCCAATGGGCTGGGGATTTAGCTCAGTGGTTCTGCCACCTGCCTCGCAAGCGCAAGGACCCAAATTTGATCCCGGGTACAAAAAAAAATTTTTTTTAGAAAGCATCCAGTGAAAAAGAGCAGCATGCTAATATTTGTATCAGAAAGTCACTTTCAAAACTCCTTACCTCAAAACTGGTGTCATCACCTGTGTGAAAATGAAAGTGTGAGAGAGCTAAATCAGATTTGACTATCGCAATTAGGTGGCCTCTTGCTCTTGTCTCACAGCTGACACGTGCAAAACACAAGTGCATTCCTTATTGAGAGTGCAGCAGCCGCTTTCCCAGTGCGGCATATTATCAGAAAAGACACTGCTGGAATCCTTGCTTACAAATGTAATTTACGACTTTAGTGAGGTAAATCTGCAATTGTCTGTGTTCATTCATTCTAATAATCTTGTTACAGACCCCATCAGATTTTCTCCATGGACATGTGTTTGGGCTGGGAACAAAAGGAAGTGGCTTTATTAGAACCTGAGGCCTGGGATCACCGTCAGGATTGGGCCCTGGTGGCCTCCAAGAAGTGGGACAGGAGGAAGTGCTTCTGCCCAAGGACCCTCCACCAGTAGCCCAGGCCCCATAAGAAAATTAATTATTTCCCCTCTTATAGGGAGATGGATATATATTCTCTTTCCTAGTCAAAGTTTAGAAACTGAACAGTGAAAACCCTTTTTTTTTGAAACCCTAGGAAAACCTTCCAGCTTCACGTGCTTCTTTCAGTTACTTCCTTGCTTTTGTCACTGATTTTGTAAGGGATTTAGCTTTCCAACAAAGTAATAGATCTCTCCTGGCTTGACCATAGGTGACACCTCCATGGTCACCTTGGCAATGATTAAGTTGTGCATTAGCAATTTGGCAGTAGACTTACCTGGCTCAAACAGTTGGAAGTCCCTGACTACTCACTGGGCCCATGCAGTTGTCCCACGTACATTTGATCACAAACTTTACCCACAGTCCTGCTGACCTGTCCTTTGTACATATTGGGCTCTGAAGAAAGGAAGAAAAGTGTGATTACTTCACCTTTCCCGCACCCCCATCCTTCCCTTTCCTCATGCCTTCTTTCTTTATCCCATGAACACCCTCAAGCCCTGTCCTGGGTCAGGGTCTGAGTCTGGCCTCCTCCCTTTGCATGAATCAAAACTCAGCGCTTTGGCACCCGCGGGCAGAGGACTCAGCTCTTCATCCACCACCTGCGCCTTTGGGGCTAGAGCCAGCAGGAGCCACGGTAC